ACTATTAAATTTCTACGTATTCTAGTATAAATGTTTGTTTATTTTTTAACTCAACAATAATATTTTCAATTTTTTAAATGTTGTTAAAAAATTAAAATGATTATAATAAATTATAATCTATCGATCATTTTTTATTAGAAATGCGGGTAAACGGATATGGGTATGGGTACTTAGGTACCCATAGAATATGGATACGGATACAAACATTAGTATCCACGCGGGTATGCACTCGGGCATGGGAGTTTTTTTAAACTGCAGGTTTCGGGATGGGTAATGTAGTATACTGCCCAAATTCTATTCATTGTCATCCGTAGATAAAGAAAATCTCATCTTATAAATCAAATTTTTGAGTTTTTTTCGAGAAACTTTTTGTAACAATTTAATTATATCTACAAAATAATTATTCAAAAATATACATTGATTTAACAATAAGACTAAAATTACGTGCTTAATCATTTTATAGTGATCAAAAATACACTATTTTTTTTATAAGGACCAAATACATATATAACTTTTAAAATTAAGTATAGGATCAGAATTTTCATAAAATAGTGACGCAAGATCTTTTATTTGATTTATCGTATGCAGAATCTATTATTGTACTCACAACAACTATAAAGTATTAAAACCTAACGGAGCATAAAAGCTACCTTGACTACACACATACTCCTGAATGCTGGGACGACTGGACCAACCCAACCCAATAGTCCACGAATTGATAGGAAAGAAGCCGCTATCTCAGAGACTGGACTCACATTGCTGTTAATGTAATAGTTTCATATTTCATTCATGCACAGCAATAACGAGTTGCACCTCAGTGGAAGAAAGCAATTTCTATTTTCAAAGAGAATATCTCAAAATTGTTCCACACCAAAGTACAATTTTGAGGGGAAAATGTAATCAATGGAGACAGAGTCCCATTTATTTATGTATATCACTAATAATTCATAAACCTCAGAGGTTGCTCTGTCACACAACAAATGGCACCAGTTTGGTCCTCATTCTCAAACCGTTTTGTTCTCGCAGCAACCAAACTCCAATCTCACATTTATGTCACTCCCGCCATTGCCATTCATCTCTATCACTATAGCACCTCTCAATCATATCAACCGAACCCACAAAACCCTTCACCCAAATTAGTGCCTTTACCACTCCACAAACAAAACCAATCAATACCCATTTCATTTTCTTCACTAAACTACAAAGAATCTATAATTTCTGCCATAAAATCTATTTCCCATAAGACCCATTTGCTCCAAATCCATGCTCACATTCTCACCACTGCACTCATTCAAGATCCTGCAGTTTCTCATCACTTCTTATGCCGTGTTTCTCTCTCTGGCCCGTTGCAAAACCCTGGCTATTCTCAGTGCTTCTTTGAGCAAATCAGTTACCCTTTTGTTTTCCACTACAACACCATGATCAGAGCTTATTCCTTCAGCGACACACCTCAAAAGTCTCTTTTTTTATATCGAGATATGAGGAGAAGAGGCATTGCTGCTAACCCTTTAACATCTTCCTTTGTTGTTAAGTCCTGTATTAGGTTTTTGTATCTTCTTGGAGGAGTTCAGGTTCATTGCAACATCTTCAAAGACGGGCATCAATGGGATACTCTTTTGCTCACTGCTCTCGTGGACTTGTATTCACAATGTCAGAAATATGATGATGCGCGTAAGGTGTTTGATAAATTGCCTATGAGAGATACTGTGGCTTGGAATGTGATGATCTCTTGTTGTATTCGAAATAATCGGACCCGGGATGCTTTGAGCTTGTTTGATGTTATGCAGAGTGAAAATTATAAATGTGAGCCTGATGATGTAACGTGTTTACTTCTTCTTCAAGCGTGTGCTCGTTTGAATGCCTTGGAATTTGGTGAACGGGTTCATAGTTATATTATGGAACATGGTTACAGGGGTGCTCTCAATTTGTCTAATTCTCTCATATCAATGTATTCGCGGTGTGGTTGTGTAGATAAGGCTTATGAGGTGTTTATGGGAATGAAGAATAGAAGTGTTGTTTCATGGAGTGCAATGATATCTGGTTTGGCAGTGAATGGGTATGGGAGAGAAGCTATTGAGGCATTTGAAGAGATGCAGAGAAATGGCATTCAGCCTGATGATCATACATTCACGGGCGTCCTTTCTGCTTGCAGTCATTCTGGATTGTTAGATGAGGGGGTGTCGTTTTTTGACCGAATGATCTCAGAGTTTAGGATAACACCAGCCATCCACCATTATGGCTGCATGGTTGATCTCATGGGTCGTGCTGGCTTACTTGATAAGGCCTACCAGCTTATCACGTCGATGGAGGCAAAGCCAGATTCTACAGTGTGGCGGACCTTGCTCGGGGCTTGCAGAATTCATGGTCATGTTACACTTGGTGAACGAGTAATTGAACATTTGATTGAATTGAGAGCTCAAGAAGCTGGAGATTATGTTTTGCTTCTGAATCTTTATTCTTCAGCTGAACAATGGGAAAAGGTTGCAGAAGTTAGAAAACTAATGAGACAAAAATCAATCCAAACCACACCTGGTTGTTGCACAATTGAGCTTAAAGGAGTTGTACATGAGTTTGTTGTGGATGATATTTCACATTCAAGAAAGGTTGAAATTTATAACACACTGGATGAGATTAATAAGCAACTGAGGATAGCTGGTTATGTTGTTGAACTTTCATCTGAACTGCATAAGATGGATGACAAAGGAAAAGGGTATGCACTCTCTTATCACAGTGAAAAACTGGCAATTGCATTCGGTGTTCTTGTCACTCCACCAGGCACGGCATTGAGAGTGGCCTCTAATCTCCGCATTTGTGTTGATTGCCACAATTTTCTGAAACTTTTTTCTGCAGTTTACAACCGGGATGTAATTCTCAGAGACCATAAACGGTTTCACCATTTCCGGCGAGGGCATTGCTCCTGTAGTGACTATTGGTAGATATATGAAGAGTTGGTAAAATGATTTTGAAGAGCCGCAATAAATGAGTGAGAGATAGCTCACTATTGACTTTATTCAATCTTTTATTTCATACCACCATGCTGCAGTTAGCCTGTGACTTGGTCATAGCTTACTCTTGCTGAATCTAGTAGATAAATCAAGCAACTTTTTTGGACTTTTTTGAATCTAGTAGATAAATCAAGCAACTTTTTCACCATTTCCGGCGAGGGCATTGAACATTGGCCAAATTATGAAGGCCTAAATGAGGGACATGAAAAAGGGGTCATAAATATCTCTATGGTGCATTTAAGAATTTTGGTGGTAGAATTCTTTGAGAAATTTTATATATACTGAATGACTATTTTTGGGTTATTCACAAATATTGAGCAAGTGTCATTTGACAAAACACAGCGAAGCTTTGTCATGTGGTACCCAAGAGGATTTTTTTCCTCATCTGCTTGTTTGGCTTATATCAATATCTCTAAATGATACTTATTTTTATGGAGTTCCTCTATGACTTCATATAACAATGCCAATTGACATGTTGTACACTTGATTTATAGAAGAGCAACATAAATGATATTTTGACACAATTTGACAATTATTTTCTACAATAATAGTACAAGTAGGGCTGGAAATGAGTCGAGTCGAGTCGAACTCACCTCAGCTCGGCTCGACTCGTTAAGAATTGTTCGAATTCGAGTTCGAGTTCGAGTTTGACACGAACTTTTTTTTAAGCTCAAACTCGACTCGTTATAAATTCACGAACAGTTCGGTTCGACTCGTTAGGTTCATCTCATTAGGTTCAGCTCACATGGTTCACGAACTTAAAAACTATTTTTTTAAATATATATATTTTTTAGTATATTTGACATTTTAATAAATATATATATTTTAAATAAAATATTAAAATAAAATAAAAGTTGTCATATTGAAATTTAACTTTATCTTCGAAATCTACTAATTCAAAACCTACACAACTTTCAAGAGATACATTTGAGAGTCTAATTCAAAAACTACTAAATTGAAGATTAAATTTGTCTAAGATTTGAAGTAAATATTTAAACCTAATCTTAAAGACAGTATAATTCTTTTCATATGTAATCGAGTTGACTCATGAACCTAACGAGTCGAACTATGTATAGTTCAAGTTCAGCTCATTTAGTTAACGAACTTAATTTTTCGCTCATACTCAACTCATTTGGTTCATGAACCTAGTTCAACGATTTAATTGTCGAGTCGAATTCCGAACTATCTTCGAGTTGGTTTGGTTCATTGCCAGCCCTAAGTACAAGTGTATAACAATGTGTTGCAACTCATTAATCATCTATTGAATTTGATTACCACAATTTTGATTGTTATTACCCACCTCGCCTTGACTAACAAAACCAGCAGTGATTAGATACAAGTAAAATATGTTGATTTTTGAAAAATAGACCAGCAATATCACCCAATTTACTCATTAAATAAAACAGCATGTATAAAACATCATAATATTCTGCCATCAATTCTAATCGTTTTTTTTTTTTGTAACTTCAGAAATTTCTACCAATAGGGTGTAGTAGACTAATCCAGATTTTGTATGCAATACTGATTTTGAATTTGCTCCAGATTACATTCTGGTCACTTTGAAGGCAGATTTGTCATGTATTTCATTCCCTAGAGGTTTTTAATCTAGTGGCCTTGACAGCTGTGGCTCACTTACTTTCACCATTAAAACAAAGAGGTTATGCTTAGATGCATAAGATTTAAAAACACAAACTGGTCCAATGACCATATTATTCAAAACGCAAAGTTTACATTTTTCTTATTCTAGTAGTACATTATAGTAACAATCTATTGATATTTCTGATCAAAACTAAAGCTCAAAATAGAGAACAGAAATGGATGCCCCTATCCGTGCTACTAACAAGTCTGGAAGCAGAATTGATACAACAGAAAATTCATGTCCTAAATTCTGGAAGCAGTAAATGATTCTACAACAAATCTGCCATCTAAGTTCTCTAAGTATTCATCCTCTCAAAAGGACATGAGATTATTGCATAAATGCTTTCGCAAAATAAGTTAAGCAGCAACAGTTTGCTTTTGAGCAAAAGCAACCCCCTTCTCGATACTGGCCTTAAGTTCTGGCTTGAGTGCTTCCAAAGCCTTCTGCTCGTACTCACTCAATCCTTGGAGATCAGTTGTAATTAAAGCCTCAACTCCTTTCCTACCAATCTTCACCCTTGAAGCAAAAAACGGAAGGTCAGTCAGATCTGACTGTACATATGAGCATTCATACACATCAGCATCTCCGCCAAGCGCACGAAGAGAGGATTCAACAAATCTAGCTGCTGCATAAGCCATTGACAAAGTTGCAGACCCTGCACCAGCTTTTGCCTCAACAACTTCAGTTCCAGCATTTTGAATCCTGACAGTTAGCTCCTCAATTTCTTCATCGGTGAAACTTGCCGAGGGTTTTGTCTTTGACAATAGAGGAAGAATGGTAATCCCAGCATGGCCCCCAACAACAGGAACATCTACATCAATCAGCCTCAGGTTCTTCTTCTGAGCAACAAAAGTGTTTGCCCTCACAACATCAAGTGTGCTAACACCAAAGAGCTTTTTAGGATCATAAACACCTTTTTGTTTAAGAATTTCAGCAGCAATAGGCACAGTAGAATTCACCGGATTGCTGATAATATGAATAAAAGCCCCAGGGCAATTATCTGCAACAGCAGTGACCAGGTCTCTAACTATACCGGCATTGATGTTGAAAAGATCATCACGGGTCATCCCGGGTTTCCTAGGAACACCAGCAGGTATAACAACAACATCCACACCTTTCAAACAATTGGCTAACTCGGCAGCTCCTGTGAAATCCACAACTTTCGAAGGAGTGTTGCAATGACTAATATCAGCAGCAACTCCCTTAACGTTTGCGATATCATAGAGATGCAGGTCGGAAACCAAAGGCGACATCTTGATGAGAAGTGCCAGTGGCTGACCAATCCCTCCGGCAGCACCGAGAACCGCTACTTTGTAGGATGCCTGTGGCTGAAAGTTGTGGTTGAGATTTTGGTTTTCTTTTACAGCTTTGGGAGCAAAAGTTGCACGAAGAGCAGCACCAGTTTCGTTGCCAGAGAAAGATGACATGGCGCCAGAGAAGGTTCTGAAATTAACCTGGGAATTGAATTTGAAACCAAAAGGGTTTGATTGAGGAAGTGACCTCCCTGTTTGGGTGGTTCCAATAGAAAAAGTAGCTGCTGATGCTGCTGATGCCATCTCAACCTCTGAATACACAAAAATACATCCATTAACACACAAACCCAAAACAAAACAAAACAGAAAAGATAAGCATGTTTGGAAGAGCTTCTGGAAACAGCTAATGACTTTTTTTCCATAAGCTCTGCATGATGAAAATAATTTGATTTCAGTTTAATTTTGTTATAGGAATAGCTTAAACACGAGCAGTTAATGAAGGTGTTAATCCAAACATGACCTAAATACATTGGAAACCACATGTATGGGTTATTCATAACAAAGTATACTGATTACTAATACAAGTACATAAAAAGCAGTGAAAGATGAATCTAAGGGTGCAAATATTATGATAGTGTGAATTTTATAGTGTTTGAGCATAATCTATAATGAAATCTATGATTAAGAGAGCATGGTAATGAAAGAACAGATCTGAAAGAAACAAAAGAGAGAAAATAATGATGGAATTGAAAATGAGATCTGTGAAAGAGGGAGAAAGAGAGAGAGAAGAAGAAACATACCTGGGAATGGTAATGGGAATTGGGAGGAGAAGTTGAGGGAGAGATAGAGAGATTTAAATGGGAAAATGGGTATGAAATCTCCGCCTGAGGGTCGAAGACGAATGGTATTGGTAGTGATGATATACTAAGACGTGCTGTCGAATGCTAACATAATATAATACTCCACCTAACCAAAGGTAAAGTAAGTGAATTACCGTCTGAAAATAATTTATGTTTGAATAATTTTATGTGAAATTTAATTAAATGGTAAACTTTAATTTAAAAATTATGTTTAAATTCAAAAGATTCAAATTATTACTTTAAATATATTTTCTATAAGTATTATTTTTTAGGAAAAAATATTTTTTTAAGTGTTATTTTAAAGTTTAAAAAAATATTGATTTTAAAATTTTTAAAATTATTCTAATTATTTATTGGTGAAAGAAAAAAGTCAAATAAATTAATAAGAATTTGAGGATAATATAAAAAATCATTATTTAAAAAACAATAACTTTTATTAACATAATAAATCAAAGAATCTACTCCAAGTCACTGTCTTCTCACATTTCTACCGTTGGATTAGTTCCCACTACGTTACTTATTTTACCTTTTTTGTTATAAAAAACCTCAACTGCTTTAAAGTGAATCACATTACATGCAAACTTAGGTTCCGTTTGGCAAACACAATTGCCTTTCTACAAAAAGGCTTGCTGTTGATAAATTAATTTTTAGCAGTTAATAGCCGATAGTTTTTATGTTAGTTGATGGTTGGTAACGAATAAATAAACTGATTGAATTTGTATTGTTAGTAAAGTTTTCGATTTGACTAACTAATATTGATAAAATGACATAAAAAAGTATATGTTTAATTAATATTTAAAATAAATCGTACATGATAAGAATTATTTTTAGATACATAATTATTTTTAAATTAATGAGGCAAAGATGTAAATCACCAACTTCGTTTTATGTAATTATGATTTGCAATATTAATAAGGTAGTAGGGACTACTTATTTCTTCTACATAGGCACACTTTTTAATGAGACAATATTTTGTTATACTCGTCCTTCCAATCAATTTTGCTAAAGAATACTTAACATTATTATCATTGCGCCTTCCAAGATATCGGTGCGTCCTATGTGGTATTGTTACACGCTTTGAGATATCACTATGTCCTTAGTAATATTGTTGCACATTCACGGGTATTATCGCACCCTTCGAGATATCATTGCATCTTTTTGGATATCATTGCATTCTCTGAGATATCTTTGCGCCCTTCGAAGTATCATTACACCCGCTAAGGTATTATTGCACCCTCTTGGTTATTGTTAGCTCCTAAATTCGACGCCTCAGCTAGAAAGAAGGTTTCCAAAGAATGACACGAGAATACCTTGAGTACAAGAAAATCGTCGAAAGGAGGAAGAAGCTAAGTCGAAAAACCCACCCCGAGACCAAGGGTTCAACCGCCTGCCAATAACGAATGGTACGTCGAAGGATTTGAAATTTGAATGTTGGAGGGAACGGTTTTGCTTGTGGAAAATGGAGGGAGACACGTGTCACCTTATGAATGATGGATCAATGCATTTAAGACAAGTGGCGGAAGGAGATTATGTTGGAAGTTATTAGAGGTTATTTTTTGTTACTATAAATAGAGTGTCTTAGACACATCCAAGGTGTGTTGTAATTTACTATTTGTGCAAGTCACTCCTAAATTTACTCAAAGTATCCGAGTGTAGAGAAAAGAGTATCAAGGAGAATGTACGTGATGTAAACACACCATCTTTTAAACTTAATGCAATTTATTTGTTTTTACTTTAAGTTTTACAAAGTCTTTTACTGCCTTTATTGTCCTTACCCTTTTTACTCTTTACCTTACTTCTTTTCCCCTTACGTAATGCTTTTCTCTTCGCCCTCAAACTAAGTTCACCTTTACCAACGAACTTTCTTCTTCTTTTTAGAAGCCTTATTTTACCTGCATATCAACCCGTAGTCGAATAGATGTTCTTTTAGGATTCTGTTGATCCCAACCTTATTCGAGTGTGGAACTTGGATAAAGTCTTGAAACCAAAAAATAAATCTTTTAGCACATGTCCTAGGATCAATCTGATCGATCCTGTGAGTCACCAAAGTTAAATTTGGAAGATCAGCGGTTGTTTTCCGATTTTCAAGGAAAACAAAATGGCACGCCCAGTGGGACAGTGCTAGGAAATCTATTTTATAAAACTAAACTTATAAAAGATTTTGCAGTCTTACTGGTCCTTTTCTTCGTAAGAGGGTACACTTTTATGTTACTGAGAAGTGGTAAAATTACCGATGTAAACGAAGAGACGCGATCAAAACGAAGCAGTAAGAACATGGCTACGGATACAAACCAGTCAAATAACTCCAACCAACGAGGAGACGGTTCCATCGAAGGAATAAGAGACGAAGGAGTTTCCCCGCCGATACCGTCAACCGGAGAACAAACGGTGCTTCCTGTGAGGCCAGTGTCGACGCCTTCAGCGCTTGGAGTGGGTTCGACAGTGATAAGGCCTTATACTTAACTAGTGTTGGAATACATTGGTCACCAGACGTCGAATCCTCAGATTGTGTTAGGAGGGAGTTCGACGTCCAGGCAGTTTGTGCCTCCTGGTTTTTCACAGTCACCTAGAAAGCCTTCATATGGGATGCCCACTGCTATGATGCAAGGGCTCCAAAGTGCCCCCCCCCCTATATTTTCAGATCAGGCGATGGCTTCGCCACTGCAAGGGTCGGGATCAGGTGTGAACATGAGTCGAAACCCCCAGAGTTTAGGGTATTCGACACAAGGCCCCAACTTGACCAACACATCAGTTGCGTGTTTGAGACAGCAGATGGATGAAAGTAACCTACAGATGGTTCAGACTTTGTCACAAACCATGGGTGAAATATTTCAGCCATTAATCCAAAATACAACCCAGACCAACCAACAATTGGCGGTACAATTAACAAGATTGGTTGAATTCATGGGGGTGCCTCCCTTAGCCAGAAATCAAGCCGCAATAGCAAACACCCCGCGAGATAACCCGGCGAATGTGATAGAAGTCGACGTAGGAAACCAAGGAAGGGTAGTCCCTCCGGTAGTCGAAGAGCTTGGGGAAGAGCCCTTGCATAACCAACCCCGTGGCGTGGGAGAAAGAAATCCAGGGGTGGTGGTGGTGAATCAAAACCAAGACGCAGACAATGTAGTCCAACATGTTCGACGAAACAACATAGCCGTAGACAATAATCTAGCGGCCATGGTCGAGAGAATTATGGCCAGAAATGGGTTAAACACCGGTTTTACTAGGCCAAATTACACTTCACCTATAGTAGACTATATCCTTCAGGCAGAGTTACCTCCTAGGATGAAAGTACCTAAGTTCACTAAGTTCTCAGGAGATACGACGGAATCCACCGTCGAACACGTGGCTCGTTACTTAATTGAGGCTGGAGAGATAGCGAACGACGAAAGCCTTAGGATAAAATACTTCCCAAGTTCTCTTACTAAGAACGCCTTTACCTGGTTCACCATGATTCCCCCCAACACGATATGTAACTGGACCCAGTTAGAGCGTTTGTTTCATGAACAGTTCTATATGGGTCAGACTAAAATTAGTTTGAAAGAGCTAGCTAGCGTGAAGCGTAAATTCTCCGAACCAATAGAGGAGTACCTTAATAGGTTCCGCTTGCTTAAGGCCAGATGCTTCACGCAGGTCCCTGAACATGAGTTGGTCGAAATGGCCGCTGGCGGTCTCGACTACTCTATTAGGAAAAAAATGGACACCCAGTACCTAAGGGACATGGCCCAATTAGCCGATCGGGTTCGGCAACTCGAAAGACTCAAAGACGAAAAGGCTAAATTCAATAAAAATAAAAAGGTAGCTTTTGTCGAATTCAATGATAACGTTGAAGGTCTGGGTGACGAGTCCATGAGTTTCGACGATGGCGAAGTGGATCTTGCTGAACTCAAGCAAGGATCACCTTACTTATGCAAAGTATTAGCTCCTCCACAAGGGAAGGGTTATGTCGAACCTAAAAAGAATGATAGGTTCCCAAAGAAAACATATACCTTTGACATCACAAAATGTGATGAAATCTTCGATTTGTTAGTTAAGGATGGACAAATGATAGTGCCCCCTGGCGCCAAAATGCCATCCATAGAGCAAAGGAAGAAAAGAGGGTTTTGTAAATATCATAATTTCTTGGGTCATAAAACGTCTCAATGTTTTCTTTTCAGGGACCTCGTTCAGAATGCGATCCAAGAGGGACGTCTAAAGTTCGGGGAGAAAGTTGGTGGCCAAATGAGGGTCGACTCAGATCCTCTACAGACGGCAGACGCAAACTACACGGAGCCAGTCGAGGCAAATATGATCGAAGTTGTCAGCGGTTATGACTTCTCAATCGAAGTAATAGAGGTTGTTGGCAATCCCATAGACGAAGCGGTGATGGCGAAGGTTACCATCAATTTCGGACAGGAGAACTGTGTCGAAATGAAAGTTGATAGTTGTGACCAGAGGGGTGAA